ACACAAAATCTAAATCGGCTCAATGCTAAACGCATGGCTCAATTTGCTGTTTGGGATCCCTCTCGGATGAGTTTTGGGATATCTGAATTAAGTACTTTCCGTACTCACCTGTTTTTACACTCCGACCATGTAATCGTTTAGTTTCAAGATAGCTTATGCAACGAAATATCGACTTTAGATTGAACTTATCGTTAATCTTCACCAACTTTATGATCCGTTATATTTGAAACATTTTTGTGCCATTTTGAAAAATGAATCGATCCAAAAGATCGATTCAAAATGATTGATTAAATCGGTGAATCGATTATTTTCAAAAAAAAAAATAATCGATTCGCTTAGATCGATTGTTGCCTCAAGATCGCCCAATGCTTATCTACGCACACACGTCACAGCGTTTTTTTCTACAACTATCTTGAAACAATATACACGGAATCCAGTGTTCAAGCTGCCAACAGAGGCTAGTCCTTCTGTAGTATTGTCAAAGATAGAAGCAAATTTTTATTCAAACGGGTGAAGTCTTGAAAAATAAGTTGTCACGCAGCTTTAGTCTAATACCCTACAAAAAACAATCAAATATTGTTTTTCACATTTGCATGTTTACTATTCACATCAATAGGTCAAAAACAACCTGCCACCGAACGTTTCCATGGCAACGCGTACATCATTCGAATTCGACGACGGTTCAGACGCTTCGGTGATGCATCCATCATGTGAATCTGTCAACATAACCGAAGGAGACGGGATACCACCTTTCGTCTTCGTTAAATTAGAGGAACAATCCACAGTAGACGAGACGAACGGGACAGTTAATAAGCAGGAACAGCCAATCGTAGACGAGACGAACGGGATCTTAACCGGTACAAATGGTGACCGAGATCAAGTGCCAAACCATAACAAGGATCCACCTGCGAAGGTAAGTGACGCCTGCTAAAATAGGGTATATTATGTTGGCCTTGATTTTTTTTTTGCTGTATGGTCCCGCACCGTTAGATATTCGAGGTGGCTAGACAGAATAACTAATAAGGTGGGCATTCGTGGTTTCCATGAACTTTAAGGTGATACATCACGTCATGCAACAATGACTGTCCCTGCGATCATTAAATAAACGTGTTTTGGTATGCGTACGAAAGACATCTTCCTACAAAACAGTAAATTACTAATTACATACCTTAAAAAATGGGCCTGAATTGTATGAATAAGATCTGGATACATATTTTAATACTTTTCTACCAAAATATTGCCAATTCATTCACGCATTGGTGTGAAAAAACAACGCTTTTATCGCTTTTTAAGGTGCTTAAACTGTGTTCAATTTAGAAACCATCACTAATAAATGTAATAAATGTAATAAAAATAATAAATAGTTTCTCAAGACAAAAAATGAAAGTGAATGAACCTACAAATCTTCTATAGAAAACATATTTGTCATTCTGGTTGCACTGCTTGAAGCCATCAGCTGATATGCAAAAGGCGGCAAAAAGATGATTCAAAAACAAAAACATACACGATAAGAAAAAATATCCAGCGGCCAGTTCATTTTTGCCTACTTTTGACTTTGAGTATAATCATATTCATCTACTTTTGGGTACAATTAACTATTTTTGGGTAGAAGCGAATTGTCAATTCCATACTAATTGAACACAATCAAATGAAAACTCTTCAACCCACATTACCTACTTTTGGCTTCCTGCAATATAGTGCCGAGATTTGTGAAAATGAGTAATTTTGGGATCTTTTTTCTTACCGTGTACCTGGAGATTTAAGCTCTGGAATCACTTTTGGACAGCTCTTATGTAACCAAAGTGTACAAAATGTGATGTTGAATCAATTAAATACTATGATGACTTGACATGTTGGCCTTGGTGGCTAGGCGCATAACTATTTTCTGTATAGGAAGGGGTGTCCTGCGAGGTGGTAGGTCGATAATATTGGCAAATTGAATAGAAATGTAGTGATAGTCTCAATATTGGATGATAAAGAGATATCTTTATCTTTTTAAAAATGACGAAGGTTGAAATTTACAGTAAGACGGACATAACTTATTCTTTACCTTTCTTATTTTTTATCAACTGTTACACATTCGACCTAATAATAACAAACTCTAGCAGCTATGTTTACGGTAGTTGCGGTAGTGCACTCACACCACTACAGCATCAATGATAATCAATTCACTGACACATAGAAAGGAGAGAGAAAAAAAAGCAAAAAAGCGTGACGTATCGTATCAACTTAACGGGAAGTTTACTGCCAGTTCCGTAGAAATCGACCTTGACACACATTTTGATTTTTAAAAAAAATTTGGAAAAAGATATCAGAAATCCAAAAACATTACGTTTTTCCGTAAATTTCAAAGAAAATTTAGGCAAAAAAAATTTATCTCGCTATTTACAAAAGTTGGACATAAAACCAATTCAAAATATCTGATTTTTATGTCCAACTTTTCTTATATTATGAGAAAAAAGAGGTTTAATACGTAAATTTTCTTTGAATTTTGCGGAAAAAACTAATGTTTTCAGATTTTTGATATCTTTTTCCAATATTTTTAGAAAAATCAAAACGTGAATTTTTCGGTGGTGGCGGTAAGCTTCCCCTTAATATCGAATTTTCATAACGGAAAAAAAAAACAATTCTATTACATATCCCATACGTAGTGAATTTGTTGTACCGATTCAGTGCAGTATCTTCTACATATGTATTACAGGAAACTATCTCGGATGAATGGAAGTTCTTGAAAACGATCCCTTTTGAGAACGTTGAGCCCCTCGTTAAATCCTTGGAATATGGATTTCGCTACAAAACTCCAAATAGGGGATCCAAAGGAGTAACGCGCTTTTACAACTGCCGTCGAATAAAGGTGCATGCCAAGGTCCAGTGCAATCGGAAGGTCATGGTGTTCATTCCTAATACCGAGAAGGATGAGTGCAGCGTGAGCATTAAAGGACAGCACACCTGCAACGATATGGTCTCGAAGTCGATGGCGAAAATGCCCTTAAAGCAGGAGGATTACAACACTATCAACCATATGCTTCGTGCTGGGTTGCCGAAAAAGGATATAAAGAAGCTACTGAAGGCGCGAAACAGCCACCTCTCAACCAACAGGTTAAACTACGCGGTGAAGAAGGCTTCTGATGAGATCTATGGCAGTGGCACATTGTCTTTGGGTAAGAGTTTTCTTATTATAATTACGATTAAAAACCAACAAGAGCACATCAGTGCTGCATAATTTATGTCATCATTGGTTCGTATTCATGAACTGGGGTTTTTGATCTGATTTCCGTTGCAGCTGTATGGACATTACATTATTAGGGGACGGTGGTCTTATCCCGACCCCCAAAACGGTAACGACCATAAAAGTACGAAATATCATTTTTTTTTTCGCTGAGTTTGAAGTTGTACCTTGTAGAGGAGTCTTTTTTCTACGTTCCACGTCAATTCGTTTGGATTGTAGATGTCGTTAACTCTGGGAGATACCGAGTCAAAAGCAAAAGCGATTGATTGATTGATTTCTTTATTATAGAGACTTTCAGCCGTTGGCTGGTTCGTCTCTGACTAAAGCAAAAGTAGGGTAAGTGTACCAGTTATGGCATTATTTAAAAATGTACCAGTTATGGTCTATGGAGTTTAAGGTGATTCCTTGTAGCGTCCACAAATGGCCGCCACGTAGGCTGTACTTGCACTTCCACTTTTCAATAACACAAATCTCGGAAATCAGTGGCCCATTTCACCTGACATTGCTACTTCATGTATGCTGCAGTGCAGCAAACGTGAAGTAATAATTTCATTGCTGTACATGTCGTGGAAGTTGACATTTGTGCACTTAAACACCTACCACATACGTTTTCGACGAGCTCAAAAATTGTGGTCTTAAACCGACCCCCTTTGTTTTTTTGCAGTGTATCGCAAAGTTTTGCATTATCGTTGTTATTTTTAAGTCAAATATTATGTTTTGGAATGAACTGAAAGCATTTTGGAATTTATCAAAATACATTTAAAAAAATCTATAGTTTTGGTCTAAACTATACCATTTGAGGGGGGGGGGAAGGAGGGGGTTCAGTATGGGACCCCTCTCCTTAACTGTTTGGCATTTGTTCTGGAAAGATGGATTCATGGGACTTGAACATTCTTTGCACACAGGGGGCAGTTATCACTATTAATCACTTTTTGACTCTCAAAAATTCACTAGAAACAATTACGGAGTATGAAGGAAATGGGGGTCGGAACGGCTCGCCATTAATTATGGCGATGGGGGTGATTTAATATCAATACCATGTGCTGAAGCAGAGACCAAAAGTAAAGAGCTGTCTACGTCTAAATTGGTTATTTTATGACAGCCCTCTACTGTCACTACTGACAATTCGGTCGGCAGCACCATCGCTGAGAACCAATAGGGGGGGGGGGGGTCGGTTTAAGGTCACCGGTCGGTATATGACCACCTTCCCCTATATATTATTAGGTTTATGGATACCACGTGGACAACTTAGGAGGAGGGTAGAGTATGATAAATTATTAAACGCTTATCCACGGAGAAGAAGGGGGTGTCCTAAACGTCCATAAATATGTCAACGTGGTGTATGGACTGCCCCAAGCAGCACAACATTTATAGCTTCCGAATTAAATGCCCTTTGCCATACGTACCATTTCTAGACCAACAATTGAAATAGGCGGAACAACCAAACGTAAACAATGACTTTAAACACAAATTTCTCGAGAATCAAAACACACCCACACAAACTAACAATGCCATTCGATAAAGGAAGTTTTCTCTCTCAGATGCTGGTATTAGATTATGTGGATGTGTTTTGATTCTCGAGAAATTTGCGTTTTAAGCCATTGTTTAAGTTTGGTTGTTTCGCCTATTTCAGAGTTTTCGTTCATAGGAAGGTAGCACCATGCTATCAGTATGTAATTGTGAGTGCAAAAATCACAGCATTCCGTGATTCATTATTACCTGTCAAGCGTATAAAAAAGTTGTCAAATGATATCAACCAATAAATATTTAGAATTTTACATTATAATTTTGGGAAAAGAAGAACCCTTAGTACACTCATGCGAACTAGCACCACCATCGGGTAGAATAAAATTTACCAAACATATTGATGGGCTACCCTATACTACGAGTCGAGTCAATAGCGAGGTGGCTTCAGGCAAATCAAATAAAGACTTGTGGAATAGACCTGGATGGTGTAAGGCTGCATAGGTGACCTAAGAGTTCTAACAAAATGTGCTTACGACAAATCGACTACGATTACGTTTCATATATTTGACAACTTTGCTCTGGTGCCAATCCTTATAATTGTTATTTCTGTGTTAATGCTGCTAACATGTTTGAAACATTTGCTGTAAGTCGAGATCTATAACGTGGCTCAAAATACGCTGAACGATCACTCACAGCACGTGGCATGGTTCCTATTCGTCTGGTTTATAGTGTTGCATCATTGGTTGAGAGTCGATGTCAATAATTTGACTGATAGAAATCGGAAGCATACGATTTGAACATCTTGTAGCATTTCTGTAGATTTGACAATTGTAATAGGTCTTACGATTAGACATGTAAATTTCTTAGCATTTTTTTTAATGAATCACGGCTGTCAGTTTTACGCTCACTATTACCAACCGGTGGAAACTAACGATTCTAAATTTGCTCACTACTTGACTAGCCTATTGGTCCTAAGCAAATCGATTAACGTACCCCTTTCTAGTCGAAATTCTAGTACTACACTATGTTTGTTTTGATTTCCTATGGAAGTTTGACAGATAAAATGAGGGGTTCGTGGATTTCCCTATGTTTCGAGGGGTATATCGATTAGCTTGGGACCGAAGAGAGTACCAGAGCTGAGCCAAAAAGTTGAGCACGTTTCTTCGGGACCTTCCAGTCTTAGAGTTAACTCTATGCTATTACTGACAGCATGGCGCCACCTTCCTACGAGCGAAAAGTAAATCCGAAGAATAATGTATGGAGGTTTCAATATTTTTTTTTTTCAAAAATGTCGTTCGTGAAGGTGAACCCAGAAAAATACTTGTTAGGGGTGTCGAGAAATAATATGAGCAATCATCTGTAGCAATTTTTTTTTTCGAAAAATGCTCTTACAGGTATACCTCGATATAACGTAACTGTCACATTTCACTTCCATCGTTGATTTCTCGCAAACAACAACTCAATCACACAAATCGAAAACACCAGTGGAATGGGGAATTAGATAATGTTTCCGATGGTGTTATCAGTTTACGTGATTGAATGATCGTTTGCGAGAAATCAGTGATGGAAGTGAAAAGTAACAGTTACGTTATATTGAGGTATACCTGTATTCTTTTTTAATGCTTTTTCCTGGTTTTCTGTATACAACTGTAAACACTTTCTCTGGTTTGCTGTTAACAAAATAAATAGCCGTTGTTTTTTTTTAGTCCACCCTATTGGAATAAACATCCAAGTAAATATGTATTCCATTAGGTTATGATTGGCTTGCATTCGGACAGGATAAAAGGAATACGCCTTTTTAATCAATTATAAGTGATTGCTTCGGCCTCTAGTGGTTAATAATACAGCTTCAAAAAGAGTGTTGAGAGTAAAGACGCTTTATACAAGCGTCTTTAGTTGAGGGTAGACAATTGTTACCGTGACCCGTAGGAAGAGGAACACTGTTTTACCGCAGACAAACGGACGTAACTCTTTGAAAAAGTATTTATTGAAAACATAGTATCTCAAAACATAGGACCTTAGTAACGACATCTCTCGGGCTTCTCGCGAAAAACAAGCTTGCTCGCTAACTCGCAAACAATATTGCATAATCGTTCTATAGAATGTATAGCAACGTCAAAGTGATCCGATGCCAGCGCTGCGGCGAGTAGTTCGCGGAACTGATAATATTCAAATCAACCGTTAAATGCATGAACGAAGAAACACAATGAAGTGTTACGTCTGTTTGTCTGTGGTTTTACTTTTCCTGATAAGTGTCATAAGTTGATTCGACACCTTCATCAGACATGGAGTTTCACTTTGAATCATTGCCGCACTGATCCTGATAAGGTTCGTGTATATTTTATTGAGAAAAATGGTAAAATGTAGGGGTACATTTGCGGTTATGTTCTTTTGGAATTCATGTTGTCATTAAGTAAGCGTCAAATCAATTCGAATCGTTGGACGATGGTACAATAAGTCAATTGCCGATGGAAGTTTAATATAATTACGCTGAAATATGCGACAAACGACCTGTTTGACGTTTTGCTGAAATAGTAGAAGCTCAGCATACTTCGTAGAACTTTAAGGAATTAAGTAGAAGCGCAAAGCTCTTGTAGGTATTGCAGGTACTTAGGGGCCATGCAATAATTACGTAAGCATTTTTTTTTTTGGATTTTCAGAACCCCCCCCCTCCCTCAAAATCTAGACTGAGTTTAATTATTGTTATTCAGTCAAATTACTGCGAAATGGGTTGAATTCTGTTTTTGGCTCATAACCAATAAGGGTAAGAATGTAAATCACATGCATTGCTCCTACAAGAGCTTTTGGTATTCATTTTAATTTGACTGTTTTTCAAATCATAACACTAAGTCCAGATTTTGGTGTGAACGGTCTTTACATGGCTTGTCCATGCTTACGTAAGATATTTTTGAGACAAAACAATTAATTTGTTTTTTAAATTTATGTTTTTGATTTGGAATTGTACCAGTGGGACATATATGCGTCCATTATTCGAATGGGACAAATCGACTTTTTCGAATGTTTGTGTTTTGTAACACGGGACAGTTATGCGTCCACCGGCAATCAAGTGTGTTTTAGAAAAAACGTCATTTTCTGCTAGTTCGACCTTGTTTTTATTTAAATTTATGTAGCCATTGGCGTCGATTGACATGCTAGTAGGTAATTGATTCTTATTTAAAATTTGACGTTATTCCAACTAATTGCAACGTGTAGGTGAGCTCGAAGAGTGGGCCACATCGAACTCGGCCGTGCCACCAGACCAGGAGACACCATTTGTAATCGGCCATGATATAGATCATGAGAACGGTCGTTTCCGTACAGTGTACAGCAGTAGAAAACTATTAGCTTTGTTCTCGTCGTTTGACACTATTGCTGCAGATTGTACCTACAAGACAACGCTTCAGGGATACCCTCTGATGGTGATCTGCGTCATTGACCGAATGCGCCACGCCCACCCGGTGGCATTTGCCACTGTCACAAGGCAGGAGGAGGTGGATTATGCGTTCGTTTTTGCTACAATTGCAGGTAGATGCAAAGATTTCGGCATTCCAGTGGCAGTGGCGACGTTCATCTCTGACGGAGAAATCGCGCTGAAAAAAGCTGTGCTTGCTATTTTTGGGCCAAATACTCAGCTAGTTAATTGTTATTTTCACGTCATGCAGAATGTGCGGAAGCATATGAAGAAAACCAAGGAGTTCGCAAAAGAGCAAGTAGAGCAAATCATGAAAGATATCAGTCGCATGCAGGTCTCGCCTACGAAGCGGCACTTCGAGCTGGCATGTGAGTTATTTAAGGCGAAGTACCTGCATTTCGTTGACTTCGTAAGCTTTTTCGAGAAGTACATGCTAGACGAATTCTTCCGTAACTGGTACGAAGCGTTCGTGCCTGGATGTCCAGCCACAAATAATGCCTTAGAGGCGGTAAACAGAGCCATTAAAGAGTGCCACCTTATGAAGGAGCGAGTGCCGTTCAGCGTTTTCAAGACTCGGATTTTGACCGTCCTGGAGCAGTACGGAGCGCCAAATCGAACGGTGAAGCGTACAAGAGAGTACGGCTTGTGCACAGAAAGGAAAGCCTATGATTGGTTGCAAAGTGAGCGAAAATGCAGGACAGTAAACCATTGGGATGATGGAAAAGTCTACGTGTTTTTCCCGGGGCAGGAGAAAACTGACGTTTCCGTGCACGATATTGATGTTTTCCAAAACCCGAGGTACGCGAACTTTGAGGAGTTCAGCCGAAATATTGGTTTTATCCACCGGGTCGAAGCCACGGCCGTTGACTGGCAGGATTGGAATTGTACGTGTTACACGTTTTTTAAAACGAACACATGTCACCACGTTGTAGTGGCTGCAGTGACCCGCGGACGATACAAACTACGGGCCGAGGCCAACACGTCGTCGCTTACCATCAAACGGCCGCCTGGTAGGCCGAAGCAGATGAGCAAAGCCTTGATCGTTGATTAGATAGTCTATGGTAATACCTTATAATTTTCTAATACACTGCCAAACAGAATCACTCAGAGAATAGTAGAAGCTACTCATTCTCTGAGTGATTGTCTTCGGCAGTGAAAATAAAACCACTTTTAAATTACCTTTTTACTTTTTTTTTTCAGATTCGATTCCATCAAGCAATATACTATTATTTTTAGCTGCAAACATCTTGTTAAGTTTTACTAACTAACTGTATAATTTGTTAAAATAACATAACTAATGAGCAAAAATATCAGCAAAATAAACATCTGGAACGATTAAAATTCCAATTTCCTATCTGGACTAATGAGAAAAACAAAACTTTACCTCTGGATGTTACTAGTGCAATTCTTCTATTAAAGATCTGGGGGAGATCCAAACGGCAACGAACCAGAATCAGGGAACTCTTCCACAAATGGGTTGGATGATGCCCCCCACACTTATTCAAGCTCTTTTCTGGTTCTTTTTTACTTCTCATCAGTTTTTTTTTTATTTGCTTCGTTTTTCTTATGCTGTCCTGCTGCATCGTCCATTCCAGTGTAGTTTCAAACGTTGGTCTCATTGTCTCAGGTCTCGTTCTGTTATTAAGGTTTGCCGTCGTCCATGGTTGTTCTCTGATTCTGGGAAGTTTCCTAACCGACTTTCGCTTTCGTTAGTGACTCAGCAATAACTTTCTTTGATGTGTATGCCATTGTGGATGCCAGATGAGAACCTCCTTTATCAAGAATCGATCAAAATCACTTGCACCCCTTTGACTTCAACCCCTTCATTTGATTGTTGAAAAACAAATGAGGCGATAGTTCGATCACAGACAAACAGACATAACACATAGAATAGTTTCCACTGTAAACCATCGTCACTAAAACACTACCGCCATCTGTTGAGAACACTGTCACGGGTAGCACGCTCAACAGATGGAAGTAGTGTGTAAACGTCTAACGCATAAAAATTAACTATGGGCGCCACCGGCGGAGGTGCTATCAACTAACACATATTTAAATTGACCGTTAAATGCGTGTTCGATGTACAAGATGCGAGTGTTATGTCTGTTTGTCTGTGTTTCGATGAAGATTTGAAGGTTTTCAAAAGATATTGTTTTCGTTCTTAGTGACCTTCATGGCCTATAAAATGCTCAATTTATTTTTCAAAGTACTAATTTTATACGTTTCTTGCTCATTTCTTATTTTTTGTTGAGTATTTTTCAAATTTTCCCTGGGACATTCATTGTGCTTTTTGTGTCTTTTTTTTACCTTTATATTGCTCAAACGGCATTTTCTAGTGCTCTTTTGTGACGTATATATTGCTCAAACAGCTGTTTTTAGTGCTCTTTTGATTTTGTTTAATGGTATCTTTTTCAATGAGACCCACATTCGTAATCTTCTTTATCGACATCGCCTTTGTTAGCCGAGACACAGTATCATTACTTATCGCTGTCTTGAAAATACCATATGGAAATTGATCTCGGTTGCTGGCTCATAAACTTTCAATTTAAAGGAATATTTCCTGAATATCATTGGAATTTTTTATTATTTTATATTGCGCAGTGTTCGTTTTTAATTGCTCATTTTTACTTTCCTGCATGCATTATTTTATTTTCTTTAAGAACAATTCATATTTCACGATGGCTCATCCTCATGTTCAAGCATACATTTATCTCCTAGTTTCTGGACCTTTTTCAGTTTTTAAAAGATATTTTCATTTTCTTTTTGGGGAAATAATCACGATTTTACAGCATATTTGGATTTAAACAGTGATAACTGTGCGCTTTGTGTGGGACATTTTAGATTTATTTCTCGCGATTATTCAATATGACATTGCTCATTTTGCCACTTTTATGGGAAAATATGTTCAACTGCAGGTGACGTAGGTGAGTTATTTAGTGCTTAAATTTCCTAATATAGTAGAGATTCATCCTTATTTATTTGGGCGTATTCTATTTACTATTGCTCTTTTTTCCATTTTAACCGCTCACATTCAAATTATTAAAAGAAGCTTTTTATTTGTTTATTGCCTTTTTCTTCATTTCTATTGCAACTTTTTTTTTGTTTATTGGTGCACTCCTGTGGTATTTAGTGGCCAATTTGAGATTTTTTATTGCTTGTGCTTTGTTAATTAGGGTCCGTATATATTTTAGTCAAAATCAATCACTTAACATCGAATTGCATTTTTGACCATGACAAAATCAAGATCAACTTAATATCTTCACTTGAAATCATGTACTTACGTACCCTACATAAAGCAGGTGCTATGCGTTCGTTTATTATCATCATTATCAGCGTAACGGCAATTACTTTCCAACTGCTACTGATTCGACAATGTTGTTCAGATTGACGAAATCATGACAGCGCAGTTGAAGTAGCTGATAAGCGATTTATACAGGTTACTTTCTTGAGTAACGACTCTTTGCTTATCAATTTTCGGTTGCAATGTTTTAACGGGGGAATGGCCCACAACGCGTTAACGGCATGATTCGTGTTATCATAGGGCCGTATCGTACGACAACCGTTCAACGGTTAGTCGGTTGGTAACAACTATGCTGATATCGTTGATCACGATAACGGATTGATATTTTCGGCGGTATAAAAGGTCTTGGTTGTTTGGGATTGGAAGTCAGTCAAGTTCTTCGTTGCAAACATCGATAGCAGAATGGTAAGTCTTGAATGGGATTCTCTTTGGACAGTTCTCAAAAACATGCTCTATCCTACAGCAGAAAATTTTCATCATTTTGGCCATCTTTGGCCTAGGCTTTGCCAGTGCCAATCTCCGTACGGAGATGGATGAGCTGATCGAGTTCTTAAAGATGGAAGAAGTTCGCGAGATCTACAACTGGTGGATCGTTCATGACGCTCAGGTGGGAGAGATTTACGCCTTCCTGCAAACTGACGAAGCCAATGAAGCTTGGGTTGTGATTACGACCAGCAATCCCGACATGCAGGAGATCAGTGCCTGGGCCTTGGAGCGAGGTGTCGATTTGAAGGATTACCTAAACCGAATTGCTACCGTCTTGGGACTGTCTCCGCTTGGTACCCGTGCCTTGAGGAACACTGCCACTCGTAGCTGGGCCAGCATGATGGAGGAAATCCGCGCCGTACAGGATCTGGATGGAGCTAAGGCTCGCGCTGCGGAGTTCATTGATGATCCAACCAGCGAGTTTGGAGAGCTGCACCGCATGATCGCTGCCCAGCACGAGTCAATCCATGGAACCTTTGAAGATCCGGCCGTTCGTCGTGTATCGTCACAGCTGCGTGCTTTCGGTGTGGATATTGACGGATTCATCGAACGTCTCTACGATTTTTTCGGATGGGATCACAGCGACCACCACTAAATGATGAGATATGATGAATAAATCTGATACTTTTTTGCAATAATTCAAATGTGTTGGAATCTGAACCTATCGAACGTGATATTTTTCACACTTCACCGGCTAGAGCTTATCGCCACATCGTCACGACTGCAGCAACAAAGTTGCAAATGTTTCTATTCGTTCGACGGAGGAATAAACATCCCCAGTCGAAAGTTAATTACCTGTTCAAGACCTAGTGTAACATCTGGATCGCGCGCAAGTCGTGAAATCGTCTCCATCGCTGATCACCTGTTCTAAACACACGGGGGTCGGGAGGTTACTTGCCTACCCCCCCCCCCCTCCACTAATCCGTAAACAGAGCCATTTGAATGTCAGATCGGTTTTCTACACCTTCAATCGATGTACCGCTGACTGGTAGAGTAGCACGTATGTTAAGGGGATTGTATCGGAATGTTACCTTTCAAGTCGTCGTCGTCGTCGTCTCACAATGGAGGAGAGTTGCAATCAAACTGCACCTATTTCCACAAATCCCAGGAGGTTGTTAGGAGCAGTTGATGACACTCCTCCGAGAAATCACAAAACTCCGAATTAGGTGCCATTGAGATCGGTTTGCTAGTTTTGTTGCGAAATATCCCCACTCTGAGATAGTTCTTTTGCAAAGAACTCGAAAAATTTCACCGGACAGTCTATGCACCAATTACAAAGCAGTCAGCGTGCAGAGCGACAATTACTCGCGCAGAAATCGAAGATTGGGTCAATATAAGAAGAAAAAAAATATGCTGCAATATGAATGCCGCGTAGCGTCAGCAATCATATCAATTAAAGTGTGTTATTTTTCACAGCCGCAGAGCAGAACTGCTTGGTCGTCGTCGTCGTCGTCGTCGTCGTCGTCGTATGAAGGTACCTACTACAAGAATACCGGTTCAGATTGTAAATTTTGCGAGGGTAGGACGCATACACACCCCGACAACGTGCTGCACCGTGGCTCAAGGCTCCAGCATTTGGTTCAATGCTTTAGTCGGAGAGAAGCAGATACTTACTACATGAATCAACTGGCGAGACCAATCCCTGATTCGTTGCGAAATTTGTTTGCTCGGATTATGGTTTGACGAAGAGGAAATGGAGTGAATGTTTTTCGTATTGTTCATTATAGATATTTCTCACTCCGAGATTTGAGAAGATCTGTACGATTTCCAAGAATCAAGTATCTGTAGAGTATACTGTGTTATCCTACCTATAAACAGTTGTTAACTGCCCTGCAAGTAATAGAGCTTTTTCCTCCGATCACCGAGCTAATGCGGTGAAAAAATTTCACTGAGAAATTGAATTTGCTAGATCATTAGCCACATCACATAGTAACCATTGGCATTATCCAAATCAGGCAGCATCAGCAGTGACGGTTTGCGGGCAGGTGTTCAACTAAACACCATCCATCGGCAACGACTTAACCAACAGATAATTACCGAAAGCAAGGCAGGCAAAGAAAAAAAAAAACTTGACTCTCACTTCTCACTTATTTTGCTAACTGCGTTTATCAACACCATCTATCTGCTCTAAGGTGTTATAGGCCGCATCGCGATTTGCACAATTCACTAGAGCACAGCCACACCAAAGGAAAAAGGTTCCCCTAATCTGCCTCCTTCGGATTGTGGATTTCTTTGTAATCCGTTTGTCGGTCTTTACCCACCACGTGGCGCGGGTTGATTTGATTTCGATCTTGTAATTACTTTTACTTTTGCTAAACTAAGTCAGACAGTCATAGCGGTCTCGCAGAGTGTGTTGTGATCACGGTTGATGCCGGAGGCTCTTATTTTTGCGCTTCCATCATGTGGGAAATAAATGGGAGAGGAAATCGTTTAGGCTTAGCTTTAGAAACGCATTGGATCAACTGCTACCCAGTCTTATGTAAGTGAAAGTGCAAACTCGAAAATAGTTAGGAATTCAATAATTTCACAGATTTAGTAAGTTTTGC